AAACCTACAAAATAGTAAAACCTGAATGAAACAAATGTAAATTAGGGGTCATTATTCGATTTTTTTCATTCATGTATATAAAGTGTAGCCTACTTATATATTTTATTCATTCATCACATTTAGTCTCTTTCAATATAACAGGCGGACCTGCGTGTCGTTGAAGTTAATAGTGGTGAGCGGAGGGGGCGCTGTGGAGCAGCAGCGCAGGGCCGGGTGAGCTAACGAACGGCTGCAGCTTCCAGTGGATCATCAGCGGCTGAAGCGGTCAGGAGCAGCGGGGTCAGCGGCTCTTATCTCCGGACTAGTGGACACATCTGGACCGCTCCGCCATGCTGCTGCAGAGAGGACTCGCTCCTGTCTCCTCTGTGCTTATTATCTATCTTCTGCAGACAACTGCGGTGTTCGCCTTCAACCTGGACACCGGTCATGTCATCAGGAAAGACGGGGAGCCGGGCAGTCTGTTCGGCTTCTCTCTGGCCATGCACCGGCAGCTCAACCCGGATAAAAGAATGTAAGTGATGCAGCCTCCATCTCCACTGCTGTTTGTTTCTAAGTGTAGATGACTATCTTTAGCATGTTGAATAAAGTGCAGCTCAGTTATGAAGGACACCTGACACTGCAGAACTCAGGGCACTGCTTCTTAACTTTAAAAAAAAAAAAAAAAAACTTTGGATGATTCCAAACAATCTGGTGGAACATTCATTTGATTTAAGGATTCCGCCTTTGCAAGGTGAATACAGTGATTTTGCAGCATTGCATCACGTGAAAGTAACTTTATAACAATCTCCTAAAGCCCATATGTGCTTCTTGTCAGATGATGCGACTTTTGTTCTTTAGCTTCACTGGGTTTCTACTGTTTCTATGCGATGCTTTGAATATGAAACGGAGAGCAGCCCTAGGACAACAAATGAATCAACAATGGTTAGAAGTGTCATGCAAATGTGTGTGTGAGGTTAAAACAGAGGAAGCAATGAGAGGAGAAGTGCAATGCCGCAACTGTTAAATTGTTTTCTCATTATATATTTTGACAACTGCTTTATCTTTGTTTTAAGTTCACTGATTGGAGCCAATGTGCAAATTGTGAGGATTTTCTCTACTTTTATAATATTTGGGGGTTTTGATGACACAAAACAGGCTAATTCAACATTGCAGTCACTATTTTTAGATATTTAATTGACTAAAGTAAAATTGAAATTCATTGTTAGTAGCAGCAGCCCTGTTTAAGTGGTTAATTTCACAGCTTTTTTTGTTGAGATTATTTTTCACTT